AAGCCATCTCCTCTATGATACCAGTGATGAAGAAGATGAGATTTCCCATTCTGGAATTGACAGCAGTGAAGATGAACTGATGACAGAGAAAGCATCCACGTAAGACTTTACATGCAACACAAGGAGCTTAAAACAAATGGAGGTCTTAAACTAGGAGATCCCACCCCTTAAATAACCTAATAGTGTTGATAGGGAAGTTAAACCCATACTTTTAAAATTTCACCATGTTTTTCTCATTTGTGATTGGTGGCAGTCTTTGTGTTCTTGATCCTTACTATCCAGTCCAGATTCTTCCAACAGAGCAGTGACAATGCTCGCCCATTTATGTATCGTCTTGCACCATTTCTGGTAAGCAGCAACCCTTTGAATAAAACCAAAATGCTATCATTACATTTGGCTTAGCGGTTAAATTATTTGCTCAACTGTGAAGTCCGCAGCATTTCTTGCACCGGACACTCGACCTGAGCACACCGAATCCTTTGCATCGCCAAAGCTCATGGGCACCAGGTTGAGAATCTTTCAGGTTCAGTAGAAGGGTGATGTATACAGAGAGGTATCTAGCATAGTTGGGGTGGTCCATGCTATTAATGCTAAAGAAAAGGGGACACATCTGCTCTAGACAAGTTATGTGCAAGTCAAAGTAATTTCTCTTTGTTGCTGTAAGACAGTTGAGAACTTTCCTTCCACACTGCATCCATGTACATCATCCAAAACTGAGCAGTTTTGCCCAGTTTCCCTTGACGAACATCCTGTTTGAAATGAAAATAGCTCTCAGCAAGTTCTTTCAATGAACTCATACTCATATGCTGGTTATTAATGTCATTGTTGGAATAAGAGACATCTTTCAATTCCTCCTTTGCCTTTTCAACCAACAAGTCATGTTGTCCATGTTGTTGAAAAGCATTGAATGAAAGATGCTCTTGAGCCTCCATAACAGCTTTGTGCACCCTGAGTGATCAGTCGTAATGTTTCCCTTTCATCACCTTTTCGATAGATTCACTGGCACAGATTTTGGTCCCTCCCGGGGCGGTGCCACTGACTGAAGTGTCTTTAGGTAATTCCCAAAGGGAGGAACATTTCTCGTTCTTATGAACAGTAGAATTGTAAATGGGCTGATTCAACAATGTCAGTTTTGTCACGCTCATAATTGTACCTGAACTACAACAGGGAACTGCTGCTTTTTCTTTCCTAATCCTTACTATCGTCATTTTCCTCTACTTCTTTTGTTTGTTTGTCGCACTCGTTTGTGACCCGCTTTTTCCGGGGTGCCTTGACAGTTGAAACAGACTTTGTACTGTTGAAGCTAGAGAGGTAAGCAGAGTATAATAAGCCTGATTCCCTGTAAAGACTTCTATGTTGACATCCACCCCTTGGCGCTCACATTACCTTATGCAGAGCCGTAAAACCTCTACTATAAAAAAACCCAGATTTTGGAATCGAAAACTATTTCAAATCCACTTCCCCACATCATTTTGCCTATTGCTTTCAGTTTCAGATATATGCACAAAGAAGTATGTGAAACACACTGAGTTGAATGATCACATTTTTATAGAGAATCTTGGGCGATTGTGTAGATTTCCGCGTTAAATTCCGATACTACACGGGACATCTGACAAACTCTTTTATTCATATTTACAAGAATATATGTGGAAGCAACAATTTAAGGAAAACATTTTTGGCAATCTGTATTGGGTTTCATTTTATTACTCTGTTTAACATTTTTGGCAATATTCTGTATTGGATTTCATTTTTGGATTGGGTTACTCTGTTTAATAGTAAGTTCTAGGGCTTATGGGCCGATTAAAACTAGTATCGGAATTTAACGTGGAAATCTACACAATCGCCGAACCTTGTTCTGCCACACAAGTGAATATGCCAACTTTGCTACAGCCAGATCAAATATACTTTTGACTAACTGCTCTGTATTGTACAGTTGAATATTCTGTACAGTGGAAACCATGTATAACAGGCCCGGTAATAACAGGGATCCGGTAACAACAGTGATTTTTTAAATCCCCGTTTTTTCCTACTCTTTGTCTCTATTCAAAGTTATCGGCAATAACAGGGCCTCATCGCAGCCCAACCGGTTATAGCAGGGACAAAGGCTCGTTACAATGTGTAAAAAGTAAGAGAGAGAGAGAGAGAGAGAGAGAGA